TGCTTGTGTTCCCTCTCTTGCTATCTTTCTCTCTGTCAAATAAATAAATAAAATCTTAAAAAAAAAAAAAAAGTCACAGAAGAAGTCCAGAGATGAGATTGGAAAAAAGTCTATTTCCCCTCAAGGGGAAGTTCAAAAATCTGAGAGCTCCCAGAAGTCACCTATAAAATGAAAGAATATGGCCACAGAGGCAATTTTCTAAAGAAATACATGTAAATGTGAGTTGTTTTAAATTAATGACTCAGAATGACTAAAATTCTGAGGGTGGAATCTTAGAAATTCCATTTCAGGTTTCAGTCAGAAAAGAGAAAAAAACATACAAACAAGGAAGACTTCAGATTTACGTATCAAAATGAGCCACTTCCCCAATGTATATCATTTTGGGGAATGTGTGTTGGGATTGTTTGGGGAATGTGTGTTGGGATTGTTTGGGGAATGTGTGTTGGGATTGTTTGGGGAATGTGTGTTGATAATGGGATAGTGTGTTGAATAGTGTGTTTAAATTTTATGAATCCATCTTTTTCTATTCTACATGGTGTCAAAAGAAAACCATCCAGGCCTCTGAGCTTTTACACTGTTGATCATATTAGAAACTATAAATGTAGGAATTAAAATGTTACCACTGAATTCCATAAAGATGCCAAGTGAACTGCATTAAGTTGAAACCAAATTTCTTGCTTCACATAATTAAAAGAAGTCTATATTCATAGAACAGAGCGCAGCGTAAAATAACTATAAAACAAAATATATTTAAGACCTGTCTAAAATTGTATAAAACTTTCACCAGATCTGCCACATGTCCCCACTTTCCTTTGGAATAAATGATTAGTCACTAATGGCTTTTTGCATATTATTTTCACTAAAAGTCCACACATTTTTGGATTAAGTGATACAAATCAGAACTGTGCTTTCAGATTTCACACCAACTAGAAACAAGATAACAGCTTGCTACTCAAAAAAGGAAATAAGCATTTCTTTGTAGAGCAAACAGAGATACAGGCTGGTATGAAAATAAAATCAGCAACTCCAAGGATAGTGGCTCTGAGGAAAAAAAAAAAAATACCACTGGCTCAAGGGTCCTAGATGGCTGCAGGAACACAAGGCCCAAAGTGTGCCATACGGCTGAGGTCTACACTGACCAGCACTATTTGTATTATCAAGAGCCTGGAACCCAAAGTAAAGTAGAAGTGTTTTTTAGTATCACTCCACATAGTCAGCATGGTGTTTATGTTCTAGAACAAGTAAGGGCATTCATATTTCCTCCAAATTGCTGGGCCTCCGTGTAACACAAGGATGTATTATCATGCACGACTTATCTACAATTCTCATCCTTTCCAGCAGAAAAACCAACCATTTTCACGGAATGTGGAGGAGGCAAGAGAGGACATTGTATAACTCACTTAATCCAAGCTCAACTCAAGGATTAAATCACAAGTACTGTAAAGGAGGAGGTCTTGTCAATATTATCTTAGTAACTCACGTCTGGCATGATCATCTTAGCAGCCTCAAGTTAGTACTGAGTAAGTTTGCAAGAAAGGAGGAAATCTTTCTCTACTTAGGGAGCGTCTTCAGTTGGGAATGAAATGAAAGGCTGTAAGTCTGATATTAGGTATGCTTATATAAACTTTACCTGACTTTAGACTTTTTACAAATCATATGAATTTCTACATTACCAAAGTTAAATACGAAGAAAATAGATATTATATGTAGCATAATATTAAGCAATTGTGAATGGTATCACTTCAGGTATAAAGACAAAACTATGAAGCCACAGCATCCTCAAAATGCATCTTTAGTTAAAATCAGTTATTCTCCCTATGTGACTACAAATCTATATTTGGTTATCAAATAAATCAGGTTCTTTACCTTTTTTTTTTTTTTCTGTAAAAACCCATGTACCTGGCAAGAGAATTAACACAAAGTTAACTACCAGGTTGAAAAATATAAACTATCTAACTGTCCATGTTAGTAAATGATTACCCAAATTAAACATTTTAAATGTTCAGCATAACCTAGACCAAACACTCTCAGTCATGCTAATATCTGGAACCGATGCCAACAAGTTTATATATATATTCCCTAATCTTAGAAGAACTGTTAAAAGCAGAGAGGGGATCAATGAAATATTATTTAAGCAATGAGAATGAGCTGGCTGGCAACCAGGAGAAAGCAGGGTCCTTCCTGTATCTTCCATGCTTGACTTGCCACAGACCTGCTCTCTTACCATCTCAGGTGATAACACCCCTTGCAAATGAAAACACGCTAGAGTTATATCTAAAGTAGAAAAAATATTTAAGTGAGAAGGCCTGAATAGAAAATACATAATTCAATTTTACCTTAAAAACATACTTCAAATATGTTAGCATTTAAAAAAAAATTCCTAAAGTCATCATTAGGCATCTCTCTGGTGATTTGCATATTTAAAAAAATAAAATTGCCTTTAACTTGATAGACTTCTGCCTAGCTTTTACTGAAATGAAGTGGACCCTATATAAAGGCTGCCCTAAATATTCACCATGGGAACAGTCACTGCTAGATACTGATTTTCAGTCTCATTCAGTAGCATACACTCTCCCTTTGGTGTCCAGTTCCAGGTCTCAAGAAAACGCAAACCCTCAAAGCACTTGAAACTATCTTTAGCAATGTCTTTGCAATTAAAAGAATCAGGAAAGGCATTAATTTATTTTTGAAGAAGGCAGAAAGTCCAGTGGAATAGAGTAAATCAAAAATTTCCTAACAACTTCTGCTATTTTAAGTACTTCTTTGTACCTGAAATTCCCTAAACAATCTGAGATATTAAAATAACTCTGAGATTACCCAGTCACTTTATACCCGTTATTGGACGGCAGAGACGTCATTCACTTGACTAATTTCTGAATCAACTTTTATATAATTTCCCTGATCATATTCCCTCTTTAGGAACTACATGAATGTCCTAAACTTACCTTTAGTGCATTTTCAGAGGCAGCAACAAAATACAGTGGCAGAAATGTGATCACATGAATGAAATACTTAAATTTCAATCTAACAAATTATCTGTAAGGGTTCTGAAATGAAAAATCTTATCTATGAAGAGTGCAAAAATAAAGCCCTAGATTCTAAACACACCAAAACATTCCTGTGTTTGCAAACTCTTAGTGCCAAATGATTAACAATATTGTATAAAGTTTTGTAAGTTCTTCTAGAAAATCAAAGGTGTAACAAATATTACTTATCGTTATAACAGTTTCAAAATCCATCCACATCTGTCACACAGAAGCACGTAAGAGCCACATGAGTTAATTATATTCAAGTGCGTCAGGGGCCAACACTGCTTTCAAACTATCCACACTATCCAGCTACACAGATTCACTTTTCACTAGAAAAAAGTCACATTATTTTCCAAAAGTCACAAATTTCAGCCATTACTGTACCTTCCTCTACCAAACCCTTGTCAGTTAACTCGAAAGATTTTCTGACAGAGGTAGAGGAAAGGTGATAAGAAGACATAAGGGGAAAACAGAAAATTGTGGTTTAATTAAAAAACAGAGTCATTCAGAATTAACAAGCAATTAACAAGGAATTGAGGAATTCCTATGAGAGTAAGGGGGGGGGGGAGCTACAAAAAGGTCTCAAAGTTTCAGAGCAGGGTAAATGGCACAGTGTACCGAAAGATAATGCAGAACACGGAAACGCAACGTACAGAGAGAAAGGGGAAAATACATTTCTGAGATAAAGAAGTTATTAATTAAAATCTTAAGGATCGGGCACAGGCAGTTTTTGGTTTTGCTGGGAAACCGGGTGCCAGGAAAGAGTTACATTTCCAGGTAACTACGCTGAAAATAAAGCAATGCTTAATGAGATAGGGGCCAGGAATAAACAATGGGGGAGGGGAGGTCTGGCTCATTACCTTTATAGAGGATGCTGGTCAGAGGCTCTCTGCTGCTTCTCTGGTGGGTGGCTTGACCCCTCCCTGCTCTCTCGTCTCCTCTAGCCAGCTCAAACCTAGAAAGCAGAAACCAGTGAGTGGTGCAGTGACCCAGGGGCGAGGAGGAGGTGGCTCTGAGGAAGGGGTAGCAAAGGAAGAGTGGTAAGGGCAGACAGGAGGAAGCAGTGATTCTCTCTCCCAGCCAGCCCCCTTCCCCTGGGGGGGGGGTAACTGACTTTACCTGTCTCCTCAGCTGCTGCTTCTCTTCCTCCTTTCAGCCTTCTCCACACTCACCAACTTCTCCATTGAACAAACACTCCAGGCAGGGCCGGACACGGGTGTTCCTGATCCTTCTCGGTGCCTCACGGCCCCAGCCCAGCGAGCATCCGGACAGTCGAGCAGAACTGGGGCGACGGTCCTGACCGCCGGGCAGCCTCGGGGCAGGGGTGCAGGGAGGAAGTCCCGGCTCGAGGGGGGGGCAGCCCGGGTCTGAGGGCTCGGAACAGGGGCTGCCGCGCTCCGGGCCGGAGGCTCCCGGCTACGGGGGCACACAGCAGGTCTCGGGGCAGCGAGGTCCCGGGTCATACAGGGTCCGAAGTGCCAGCCGCGGGGGCTCCAGGCAGGGGGCTTTCGGGATGCACTTTGCACTGGGCCACCCCCGCCCCCTCCCTCCAGCACTTTGGGGTCACTGGGATGGGACCAAGCCTTCAGCAGCCAATCAGCGGCCGCATCGGAGCCTGAGCCCGGAGCCGTAAACCAGGTCCGGGGTGGGTGGGGGTGGGGGGTGGGGGCGACTTGGTTGGTTGGTTGCTTCCTTCTCTCCTCCTTACCCCCGGCAGCCCCCACCCCTCGCCTGCCGTAAAGCCGTCTGCGCATTCGCGACAGTTAGAGGAGGCGTGCCGGTCGAGGTTGGGACTCGTCTCCGATTGGTCTCACTCACTTCCCCCTCGGCTTCCCCCCTGTGGCTTCCGATGCTCCGCCCCTGGCGGAGGGACTCGATGCGGTTGCTAAGATACACTGTACGCCGAATGGGATCTCTGCGCATGCGGAAGGAGAGATTGGCGTGTGCTTTCCGCGAACTACGGTGGCCCGGAAGGTGCTGCTGTTCGTTCGAATGGCGGTGAGAAGGCTGAGTCTCCCAAGGCCGATCTCCCGCAGGTAACTAGGAGTGGCAGCGGAGCTCGGCGGCGGGGAAGGCGTGTGTGCGGCCGACTGAGAGGCTGGTCCAGGGGTCTAAGGTTGGGGAGGCGGCAGTCCCCAGGAAGCGAGGAAGGGGACGCCAAGTGCCGCAGCTCCTCCTCAGCGCTCTTAAGACGAGGGTGCCGGGGCCGTGGCTCATCTTTCGGTCCCTGAGGCCCATTAGCTACCAGGCTGGGCTTGCCTCTCCCGGTGAGGAAAAGAGGACTTTTTGGGATGGCGGTGACGCTTCAAGAGCTTTCCTGCAAGGACAGCGACCCTCACGGATTTCTGACAATGAAGGGGAAAGGAGAATGGAAAATACGCGAGATGGACAAGCTTATTGAGTGCATGTATTCATTTAGCAAGTGTTTATTGGCCGGGCACTGTTTTAGCCGTTAGGGAGACAACAGTGAACAAAGTAGTTGCAATCACTTGTCCTCGTGGAGCTTTCGCTTTAACAGGGGAGACAAAATTATCATGTAGGGTTAGGTTATATAAAGGAAGTCAAGGAGAATAAGAGGATCGAGTTTGACTAGGACGTGTTGGCTGTTTTAGATAGGTAGTCAGGAAAAGGTCTCTGAGGAAGTGACATTTGAGCAGCGATCTGAATGAGGAGGAACCAACCAAGGCGAGATCTGGGGTATGGGGGGAGGGGAGGAGGAGGGAAGAATTTTGCAAGCAGGTAGAATCAACAGGGCAAAGCCTCCGATGCTGGAATAACCTTTGCTGTTTAACAGAAACTGCAAGAAAGAAGACCAGCGTAGTCAAGCGGAGTGAGTAAGAGGGAGAATGATTGGTATTAAGATTGGGGATGTTGGGACAGGTGGCCGACCTTTGCAGGACCTTGTAAGCTATGGTAGAGAAGTTACAGTATCGTATTTATGTTTTGAAAAGATCACTGGCCGGCTGCTCAATAGAAAATACTAGCTAGAGCCGGGTTACTGCAAATGTGGAAGGCTATTAGAGTAACCCAAACAAGCGCTGCCATTATTTTAAACTGAGTCATCCAATACACCAGACATTTGGCTACCACCAATGTCCACATGGAATGGCCTACTCAATTATGTAAAGGAAGTAATTTAATGTATCCATTGCTTTTATGTAATGAGATATGTTAAGATGTTGTGTGGCAGATGGGGGTCACTGCAAACACTTTCAATTTGTCCCTCTGATGTTTTCTTTTACACTATCACTCATTCAAGAATACATGTTTTGGTGCTTTCCTCATGTGCTACCTATTGGCCTATATAACCAAACAGCTCAGTCCTGCCCAGGGAAGCTCATAGTCAAAGTGTGGGGAAACCAAACTAGAAAATAATTATAGACAATGCAGTGAGATAAATACTGTAGTATAGGCTGAAGGAGCACTTGGCAGGGCCCCCTAATCCTGAGTTGGATATGTAAAAGGCTTCCCTGGGACTGCAGGTTTTCAAATTAGAGGTTGAGAGTGGGAGGGAGAAGGTTGAATGTGGCTTCGAAAGAATGTGCCAAGAAAGCTTGGGAACCCTTAAAGTGCACAGTTTCTGAGGACTTTAGAGAAAGCCTGTAGCTTAGTTTGTGGGGCGGATTGATGAGGGAATTCCAAGAGGCAGATCTTGAAGGACTTGCTGTGTCCAGGGGGTTGGACTTTATCCTAAAGAGAGTGAAGAGGTTTTTCAGAAGAAAGGGGGTGTAGGGTGGGCTAAGAAACAACCATTTAGCAAGAAATCTGTTGGTTGTCTGGGGTAGAAGTGGTGTACTGCAGTAGTACCAGTGAGGGTGGAGAGAAGTGGGCTGAGGAAGGGTCCAGAAAGATGTCCAGATTTCTAGCTTCGGTGCCTAGGAGATAACAGTCACCATAAACTGAGGTAGAAGAAAACAACATGGAGATAGTAATTGAAGACACAGAGAGTCCATGAAATTGCACTAAGAAGAGAGAGGATATGGAGGATTGAACACTTAAAGATCCCAACATTTTTCCCCCTTATTGAGAAATACTTGATACACATCACTGTATCAGTTTAAGGCATACAGCATGATGGTTGATTTACATTTATTGTGAAATGATTGCCACAGTAGGTTCAGCTAACATCTGTCTTCTCCTACAGACATAATAAAAAGAAATGAAAGAAGAAAAAGGGGAAAATTTTTTTTCTTGTGGTGAAAACTCTTAGGATTTACTCTCTTAGCAGCTTTCCTGGTTATCCTACAGCTGTGTCAGCAATAGTCGTGTTGTACCTTACATCCCTAGTACTTATTTAACTTATAGTTGGAAGTCTGTACCTCTTGGCCACCCTCCCCCAGGTCCCCCACCACCCCACCCTCTGCCTTTGATAACCACAAGTTTGATCTCTTTTGCTATGAGTTTGGGTTTGTTTTTTGTTTATTTAGATTCCCACATGTAAGTGAGATCATACAGTATTTGTCTTTTTCTGACTAATTTAACTTAGCATAATGCCTTCAAGGTCCATCCATGTTGTTACAAATGGAATGATTTCCTCATTTTTTATGGCCGAATAATATTCCATCGTATGTACATACCGCAGCTTTTTCATCCACTTAGGTCGTTTCCATGTCTTGGTTATTATAAATAATGCTGTTAGGAACATGAGGGTGCAGGTGTGTTTTCAGGTTAGCGTTTTTGATTCTTTTGGATATATCCTCAGAAGTGGAATTGCCGTATCATATGGTAGTTCTATTAATTTTTTAAGGCTCCTCCATATTGCTTCCCATAGTGACTGCATGAATTTACATTGCCACCAGCAGTGCACAAGGATTCCCTTTTCTCCACATCTTTCCAGCATTTGTTGTCTCTTTTTGATGATGGTGACTCTTAACAGGTATGAGGTGATGTCTCATTGTAGTTTTAATTTGCATCTTCCTAATGAGTGGTGCTGTTGAGCATCTTTTCATGTACCTTGTTGGCCTTTTATATATCTTCTTTGGAAAAAGGCCTTTTAAGCTCTTGTGCTCATTTGGATTATTTGTGGTTTTTTGTTTTGAGTTGTATGAGTTCTTTATATGTTTTGGGTATTAATCCCTTATCAGATGTATGGTTTGTGAACATTATTTTTTCTATTCCATAGGTTTTCTTTTTATTTTGTTGATGATTTATTCAGCTGTGCAGAAGCTTTTTAGTTGGATATAGTTCTACTTACTTATTTATTTACTTGTTTATTTATTATTTATTTCTGCCTTTAGAATCACAGCATCTTCATTAATGGGGCAATACACATTAAGTGACCAGCTGGGCTATGATCAGATTTGAACCTATTGTTGCATTAGGCCAAAGCCCAATTTTGAGTTTCTAGCCGATTGGCAAACTGTAGTAGCTTTTCATATAAAGAAAAGCATTTTTTCATTGTAACATTGACCATGGAAGTAATTATTTTTCTGAATTTTCAATATATGGGTTATCTAAAGAAAATCTCGTAAAAGAGATAGTGGCATCTTTTTTATTGTTGTTATCTGCATACAAAGAAGGATTAAATTACTAGCAATTTGTTTTTTAATAATTTTGAAATTGGGTGATGGTAGAATGCCTTCTAATGAATAGATCATGCACTTAAAATTTCTGCCTAGTTATTACTTAAGAATATTTTTTAAGAAAATATTTTTTAACATTTTTTTTTTTTAAGATTTTATTTATTTATTTGAGAGAGAGAGAGAGTGAAAGCAGGAACACAAGCAGGGGGAGTGGGAGAAGGAGAAGCAGACTTCCCGCTGAGCAGGGAGCCCGATGCAGGGCTCGATCCCAGGACCCTGGGATCATGACCCGAGCCGAAGGCAGACGCCTAACGACTGAGCCACCCAGGCGCCCCAAGTGTTCTGATCCTACA